ATACTACAAAGATGATGCAAATGATTCATTTTAATCATATTGTGTTACCATTACAACTGCAAACTGACTTAAATCAGAAGGGGGAGAATATATGTTTATTGGTAATAAAACTATGATGATGCAAAAAAATGTGATTTTAGTCAGGAAGATTTATTCATTTGCTTCCTTACCAGTAGTCTGTATTTTGTGACTATGCTTTATGAGGAATGGATTCCAGAAGTCAGTGTATTCTTATTTCAACCAGTGTGTCCTAGAATTTGCAGAGGTATTATTTCAATTGAAGGGTAAAGCATAAAAAAATAAACAGTTCTTGCGTCATTTCTGTCCCCACTAAAACACCTTGTAAACACCACAAATACTGTTAAAGCAAAGAAGAGGGGTTTTGTTTGTTTTGTTAATGGTATCACAGAAAAATATACATTGGGAGAAACTCTCTAGGGTCACGTGGCTCAACCTCCCTGACTCTGAAGCTAGGCCAGGCTTCTCAGAGTCTTGGCCACCTAAGCTTTAAGAAAGAAACTTCTACAACTTCCCTAGAGCACTTGTTTCAGTGCATAAGCATTCCTCATTTCTTGTATGCACATCCATACAGTGTATATAGTTTGTATAATTTTTCATTTCTTGATCAACACCATTTTTAACAGACAAGTGGGACAAAAAGATAAGTCATTTTGTTCAACCTTTGTAGTAGGAACTAACTAGAAAGAAAAATAAAGCACAGTTCTATTCTTGAGCAGCAGTGGCAGCACTTTCTGCTGATCTGACAGGCAAACAGAACTGTTGAGTTGTGACTGTTCTCCCCAGGTCTCTCTCTGAGCCTATTAAAAGAAAACTTGCATTTGCAGCTGGTAATTGCTACTGTTACCTTCACCCAATTGAGACGCTGCACGTAAGGATCAAAGATTAAACTTGCTTTTTATTAACCTGCCTCCTAGGAAAATTGCCCTGCAACAGTACGGAGATGACTGGATAATCCCTTCCATGATCCAGCATCCGCTCTTCCACAGAAGCTACAGACTGCTCATGTCAGAGCCCTTCATAACAAGATCATAAACAATTCTGCTAGAGGCTCAGCAGACCTCAAATAGCTTCCAACAGCCATGAGGGCCTTCTGCTCACAGGCACAATCTCTGTTGAGGCCACAGCAGCAAGGCAGCCCGCACCCAAATGACTGTGCACCTGCCAATCCACAAGCATTTGTTATCAGTATAATTCCACAGCACACTGATACACACACTCTCCTCCCGCAGAGCAATGTGTTGTCTGCTTAAATGTCTCCTTAACATGTTGTCTATTGAAAGTTCAATATATGGTTGGTATTGCACTTCTAAAACCATTTTCTCTTACAGGTGAGTTGTAGAAATGGATCTGGATAGTAGGATTTCACAGAATCACAGAATGATTGAGGTTGGAAGGGACCTCTAGAGATCATCTAGTCCAACCCCCCTGCTCCAGCAGGGACACCCAGAGCACGGGGCACAGGGCAGCATCCAGGTGGGTTTTGAAGACCTCCAAAGGAGGAGACTCCACAGCCTCCCTGGGCAGCCTGGTCCAGGGCCCTGTCATCTTCACAGTGAGGATTTATTTAAGAAAACCAACAAAATTGACACTTTTACTCTAAAATAATTAATCTTATACACTCATCTACTTGGCTCCCCCCCCCCCCCTCAATGCTCACTACGTCTTTACTTCGTTTCCCAATAAGGAGATTGCTGCAGGTAGGAGGTCAGGCAGGACCTCCATTAAGCTCAAGCTGTGCAGCTACTCACAGTTACCAATCTTAAGTGTTACCATAAGAGACCTCTGGACATCTCCTCCAGCTGCTGTCTCCATGCATCTACCTGGTCTTCCATGTTTTCCCCCACTTCACGACTTTCGCCACCCTCTTTTTCAAGCTCCCTTCTTGCTTCTAAGACCATCCCTCTTCAAGAACCCTTTTCTAGCACTACATCTTACTTCCAACCCTGGAAGCCCCCAGTTTTCCCAACCCATATAACAGCTTGTGTGCAGAGAACAAAACATGGCGTTAGCAGTTTTCTCAGCTCTCCCACTCAGGAAGATTCAGAACAGGAAACTTCAGTTTGGCCCTGGCATAAGAAAATCTACGGCCAGCTCCTACCAGCTGCGGCAAGCACATAGCAGGCTTGCTGGGCTTGAGAACTCCCAAGAACTCTCGAGAATGTTACTGTTATTTGCTAAAAGACAGTGCTTATAATTCAAGCTATACCTTGGAGATTTAGCTTACTTCAACACTGCTCAGATTGCTGCTACGCCCGTTCTCCTCCTCTGCGTTGAGGAGGGCCTTCACTAACTTTCTGTGGAAAGAAAACAACGCTGCACCAACAGGCAATGCCTCCGTATCTTCTTACCCTGCGTGAGGAGGGTGGTGAAGGAAGGAGACAGTGACAAGATGACATCAGCACTGACATCTCTGGAAAGTTCAGCAGGACAGTGACAGCTTTTTCTATGACACACTCTGATGACGCTCATCCGATTTGCAGTCTCTTCACACATCTCAAGAGCATGGTAGATTTTACCTGTAAATATAGCACAAAAACCACCATCAGTAGGGCTGGAGAAGGCATCAGACATATCTCATTATTTTTGACAAGGGTTCAAAGGAACACAAACTCCCAGCACATAACCGCTTCCCTAGTATTCTCCAGTGAATATTTATTAACACCAAATATCATGGACTTATATCTCTAAATCCCTAGTCCTGCATCACAGTCTGTCAAATACTTCATTTTCTTTTTTCTCCTTTGCTGATTTACATAAGTCTCTTAACACTCGGTATCTGAAGTTTTAAATTTCAAATAGTTACTTAAATTTTAAAATCTTCTTAGAGGCTTAACAGAAAGGAAAATGCATCCCCAAAGGCTAAAAACTGGTCCAAAACTTTGAAAGGAATCTAGAAGATACAGAAGGACTAAGAGATGATATAGAAGGATATCTCGAAAGATGAGTTAGTCTTTTAAGAATACTGTAGAGAACCATCTCTAACTTCTTTGTTCACCTGTACCTATGCCGAAATCAAATGCCACGTTCATCATTCTCTTTCTGAACACGTCAAAGAGGGGACAGACTTACCAGCACGGAGAGGGCAGGCTTTGCCGAGAGCATCCATCCCCCTTCCAACACCATTCTGAAAACATTTTGCAAGAACAATTTAAGCATATCTTCAAAGTGCATTTTAAATTGGCCATATCTTACAGTTTACCTCCTCCATTAATTTTATCATAAAGATGTACAGAAGAGTGACTGGTCTCCAAAGTTTATTAAAAATCAAAGAATAGAAAACTTTACATAAAAATATGTCAATTTTAGCTTCCACATAGTTGTCCACACAAAAAAAGTTAAACATGATTTTTTAAACCTGTAGCACATAACCACAGTGATAGCCAGGCCAATTTATTTGGTTCACCATGACTGAAATGTTACATGATACCACTTTTTAAATGAATTTTGCTTTAAAATGGACGCTAATAGAAGACACCAACTAAAGCCTCTGAAGGCTCCTTAATGTAGTTTTATGGTCAATATTGCTAGTGTGTGAAGACTAAGCAGTACAGGCTCATGTAACAGCCCTTAAATATTATTCAGGAATCAGCTCACAATCTTTTAAAATTGTGATGAGTCTGGAGCATTAAGACAAACTTGTTGCAAACAGATATGCACTACTCTACTTTGGAATGTTGCCCTCTCTCCCTGTTTGGATGTGACAGATTCAGCCATAACATGAACAACTCCTGCTTCAAAGGCAAACTGTGGATTAAAAAGCTTCCTCATGCCAGACACCTCATTTTAAGAGCCAGGTATCCCTTTTAAAACCTGCTGTAACTGCACACCGTATAGGCGTCCCCTTAACAGGACTCTTCTTCAGCTCTCCTCGCTGATGGACTTTCAAATAACTGATCCAGAGTTTTTCTGCACAGTTCAAGAACTCATTAAAAAAAAATGGGAAGTCAGAGGGCATGAGATGTGACCTACTCCCAGGACAACTGTGGCGCTTTAAAAACTCAGGGTTAGGCAGGATGTATTTTTCAAAAAGGTAAAGACAGTGTTTGTAATGGCAATACACACTTGCATAGTATACCTGTATGCATCTGTAATTTAAGTGCCAGCCACTCATACTGTGTACAACACTGGGCTGTGCTCTCCTGCAATACATTAAAAGATACTTCTTGGAGTGCTTAAAGCAGCCGAAGTTCTTTTTGTATATTTGCTCTTAACAGAACTAATGCATACTGCTATACAGATTCCTCAATGGAATCAACATATTTCCTTTCTCCACATTCCTTAAGCCGGGTACCTCTGTTTAATAATGTTGTTTGAACCCAAACATTAACAGGTTACATTACTAAAATGCATCAGAGCACGTAGTTCACAGCTTTTAAATTTCAAGTCAGAACTTAAACCAACCTTTTTTTTTTCCCTCCTCCCCCTCGGAAGTTTTACTCCTGGTACTACGAATGCTGGATTTGTCATCTAGTTCAAGAATTAAACTAAAACTCATTGGTCAGAGCAAGACAACTGATAAAGGCCAGACAATGAGCTAAAAAAACACAGGGTCAAAATGCTTTGGAGCTTAACACCGTCTTAAAACCGTAAGCCAAATTGCCTTTCATTGTGAATCAAGAAGCCTTGAATATTACCAAATGTCCCGTTTGTAACACTGCTCAGACAACCTGCCAAAACTATGAACCCAACTTAGATAATGCAACCTGGGAAAGGATCTGTAAATTAAAAAAAAAGCCTTAAATATAACTTATGAGACAATATGAAATTAAATTAAAAAAATCCAAGTTATTGCACAAATTATACTTCCAATATTTACAGAGCAAAAAAAAATCTGAACTTTGAAACAAAAACAGAAGAGCAGCAAATTTATTTTCATGAATTCCCAACTGGATTTGCTGCAAGAAAAAAAAAAAAAAAGAAAAAAAGAAAAAAATCAACTGAAGTTTCCTCCACTTCTAAAATAATAATAAAAAAATAAAAAATAAAAAACCCACAAAGGACCAGATGTAGCCACAGCAGAAAAAGCCACAGCATTTGTAGATGTCCTTGCAGTTCTCCTGTCAGAGCTGCTTCGGCACTGGATGAACCGTTGTGGGAAGGCAGAAAAACAAACATTTAATAAGGCTTCACAGATAAGCACAACTACTTCTTGAAGATGGACTGAACCACCACACAACGAAACATGCAAAGAAGTCAGCAGCTGCAGATATTTGGCAACACCAAGAAAAGAGTGTGCTGGACGCTGGTCTCCATGCCCCAAGTCGAGTGGCACTCGCTCCTTTTCAGTCCAAAGTGGGGAAGGTCGGCCTGGCATCTGCCATTATCTGCTGAGACTAATAGGCAAACTGTCTCTGTGTTTTTTTCTCCTCCATATATTACGATTGTACTGGTGGTGTCCTCGGTTACCCACGGGTTGCCTCATGCCTCCGCTGCTGACAGGACTGTAGCCGTTGCCTTGGTTATGGTTGTGGGCGCCCTTCATGGAAAACTTCATTCCATTGTGCTGCTAAAAATAGAAAACAAACAGTTTAGGGATGCAAACAACTCAAGCAAAGCACTTATTATCAGTTATGCTTCTTCAACACACAAGTCATTCCCACTGAACAGTGCTTGGAGCACGTTCTGATTCATGCTTGTCTGCATAAGTTCAACAGCACTAACAACTTAGATAATATTTCCTGAAGTAACCAGTCTGCAGATAAAATGGTGTCAATTTAAAAGCAAAACTCCTTAATACCGAGATCAAAGCAGTTTCACCAGGCTCATTGGCATCACCCTTATAAAAGCAGACCTTTCACATGAGATCACACACGGCTCCCGCGATTATTTTTTCTCTTTTTGGCCGTGCCTGTTCTCAGCAAAAGCAGGTGCAAACGGAATATTCAGTAGGGCAGGACCACATGAGCTAACGTGGCACCAAAGCCACTCGCGCTGCCCACAGCAGAGCTGGGTCTGGTTTCTCAGGAGCCAGGAGAGCACACCTAAAGTCCTCCTAGTTTGGTCACAGGGTAACCAACAGGCCCCTAGGCCGCTCCTCACATGCACAGCAAGGCAGAATAGGCACACAACATGATCAGGATCACATCATGTTACTGGATTTATATAGGAAAAATGTCTGGAAACTTGGAACAGAAACTGCTGAAAAGGTTTAGTGACAGCCAAAACAAACCAGCACATCACAAGGTACTACAGATGCCCCTATCACAGATTTAATATACATGAAGCCAATTTTCTGTATGCCATTAAGTATAAGAGTTTCAGAAAATGAAAATGACTTTCCAAAGCAGAACTTCCAAATACAGGTAACTTCAAAACAAACTTTTTCTGGTGCCTGAAGTGGTAACTTAAGGCTGACAACTGGCTGTCTTCAAAAAAAGAGCTAATAAAATGTTCGCAAGGAGGCCTAATAAAAGATTTTGTCTGTTGAAGTGGTTAAGCAGGAATATAGCACAAAGCTAACATAAGCAGAGAACATGAGCTACATTCAGCTACACTTTACTGACAAGTCTGGAGCGAAGAGACAAATACAAGAACACGAAAGCATCAAATTGCACGTGCACGTACAGAAACAGTTAAGGCACCATTCCCTAAGCCTATTTCTATAAAGAAATACAAGCTGGAGGAGACTAATATTTGAGGAATAGCTCAAGTTAGCTACACGGTAGCATTAAAAGCCCTCTCTGTGAAGGGCACCCTATGGTGACCTGGTCAGCTTTCAACAGGCAACTCCTGCATTCCCAGGTAAGATGCGCCAAGCCCTTTCCTTAGGCTAGCAGCAGAATAAAAAATTCAAGGACAAACAGGAAAAAGAAATGCAGAGAAGAATCCTTTGCTATTAGGGAAGAAACAAAACCGTCCAAACTTTATTTACTGAAGGAAACAAGTTATTTGTGGAAGCCAACACACGAAGCTGAAAGCATTTTAAATGCATTTTATATATTAGATATTGGTGAATGGTCCTCAAATCAGACTTCAATTTGAGGATTTGGCAGGAAAAAACAGCACGAATTATCTTAACTCCTTGAACCCGGTCACCACAATCAGACAAGGACCACTGCCCATGCAAGAAAACAGATACAAGAAGTATGTCTACCTGTAACCTACAAAGTTCTGCTACCCTTGGTATGTTCAAAATATAATCAGTTTTCCAAAGAAGGGTTAATAAGCTAAGAGCAAAGTGATCCCCAGTTTGTTCCGAAGAAGCACTCTGTATTGCATTTTAGGCCATCAATATAAAACCAGATCAGAATGTGATTTTATCTACGCCACTGCATTGTCACCAGCTGGCAGCACCTGCTTGGGAAGCAAGCTCAGGACTTCCAGGGCCACAAATGAACCTTTCAGGTCAGTATTTCAGTGAGGTCTCACTCACTGGTTTGCTCCAGGTGTTTTTATTTGAGGCATCCTGCAATGGCACTGTTAGCACAGGGTAGGTGGCCTACGCTGCAGCATTTCACAGCTCGACTACGCATCGTCATTCTGAAGGATTTTCCAGTTCTTCGTTATTCATTGTGTGTCACTCTGCTATTTGCCTTCTCCCTACTACTGCTGACTACAACGACTTCCATACCGCCTTGTTCCCTTCTCCAGGTTGATGAATCATTCATTTGTTGTATATAAGCTGTTCCATTTCTGAGCTCCCTAGCATCCTTCGCTAATCTTCTCCCGTTTCTATTATAGCTTTCTTCTGATCTGAAAGAGGAAACTACTATTCACTGCTTGTGTTGGAATATACATGGATTTTTACATATTTTCATCTTTACTGTTTTCCTCTCCTAATGTGCAACACCTGACTTGACTCAGTTTTCAGCAGGCAAAAACTTACAAAAATATTTTCTACCAAAAAAATCCAGGATCTATCCTAACAAGAAGTTCTCATTGCAGCCCCACCACTCTAGGAAGTTTGAAACATTTCCTTCTCTCCTGATACATCCTTTGAAAAGATTTTCTCAAATCTTCTCAGCTTGTTAGCTCAGCAACATCAGCAAATTTTGCCCAAATTACTCATTACTTATTAGATGCCAGACAACATGATGCCTGGTACAAATTTCTGCAGAGCTTTCCTGCAGGAGGGCAAACTACCTATACTACATAAACTGAAACTTATTTCAGATGTTTCTTGCCTTTAACCAGCAAACAATTTGGAAGAGGATCAGCTTCTTTTGTTTCTTTCAAAATCTTTAGTAAAGGAAACTTAATGTGTTTAGGAAATCATAAGCTATATGAATCAGCATCCCTAGCCCACATGTATCAGCATCTCCCTATGCTCAGGTGTCCCATCACCATCACTGAGAGCTGGCATGCGTGTAACCTGATGATGGCTGCAGAAAAACGAGATAACCAGAAGAGAAAGCTCTTCATCTGTGATAGGATAGACAAATATGAATTAAATGTGGGCTTGACTACTTTGAATCTCTCCATAGAATAACGTCCTGCCTCTGCATATGGCTACTAGTCCAACAACTAAATGACAGAAACAAAATCTTTTGGGGAAGAAGTTGATGACTTTGATCCTCTGGCAAAGGAAAGCTGCCAGATCTGGAAGGAAATTTAAAATTTTGCATTTAAAACAAGTCAGGAAAAGAAATTCCATAGTATATACCAGATTAAACAGAAAGTTTCCATGTCTTTTAACAAAAAATGTAAGTAAATAAACAAAAGCACTTGTTCTTGACCTTTATTCCTGAACAGCAGAAATCTTCTGGAAATTGCAACACCAGAATCTCATGGAAATTGAAATACCAGATAGTGACTTGCTGAAGCAATCCAAGTTTTTCCTCTAGAATACTAGCAAAAATACTAGCAAATTTACTATTTCAAATTCTTACAAAGACTGTCCTCATTAAAAAATAATTTTTAGAATAGAATCTTGCCAAAAATAAGGCACCTACACACTGTGAAATAATACCAGTATCAAAAACAGTTGCAGTTGCAATAACGCTTAATATTTCTCCGTTAGCTCAAAAATAAGGAAAAATAAGAGAAACATTAGCTATGAAAACAAACTACTAGTATTCTTTACTTTAAAAGGGATTATACACACACAAGACAGAAATAATTAATAAGGACGCAGGCAGCTAAAGTTTATAAAAGGATTATAACAGTTTAGACAAGATATATACTTACTATTATATTGTTAACACTACAGGATGAGTGGCCATGATTAATCCCAGTCTACAGTTCAGAGGAATTGTAATCACTCAAGCTTGTATACTTCAAAATGATCCCGAATAAAATACTAGTGGAGTATTATGAAGACTACTACACCATTAACTTCTCCAGTATCTCCCGGAAAACCTCAGTGCACATCCTCAGAAAATATTTCACTTAACTTCCCCCCCCCCCCCCCTTCTCAGTTTTTCACCACATTTCAAACTTCTCCATTTTAGGACAAGTTTGAAGTTTTCTACTAAAGTTTCTACTAAACTATAAGTTTTTAGTTTTCTACTGAAAGATAAAAACACATCTGTTTTGGTGTTTTTGATGGAATTTCCCATTCCCAAAGCATGTTTTAAAAAAAGCATCTTGAGCACAGGTAAAAACTTTGCTTCTTGTTCATGAAATATGGAAAAAGAGCAGGCCATGACCTCAGCAACTTTTTAAAAAGGAATGTATGGATATGGTATCAAATATTAGAAGATGGTTCAAGGTATCCTCAATATTTTACAAGCCAGTTAACTGGAGCCTATACAATATTCACTGCAACTCTGCTACTATTGAAAGTGGGTCATTAAGTGGTTTTATCTGCACACTTGTAATTAGGAAAGCAAGAGATAGTAGAATTTCTAGCATAATGTTGACGATTTTATGTATTTAGACAAAAATAACTACCATTTCAGGTACAGTCCCAGAACATCACTCAAGCAATGAGCTTCTATCAGCATAGTATCTGCAAAGGCAGCTAGAGGAAACACATGCAGATACTCAAAATAACCCAAGTTTGAGCGTGCCAACCTTTGATTGCAATGACCTTGAAAGACCGTGTGCTATGCAAACAGAAGAGCAGATACTACTTTCAAGTTTCCATAACTCTATTGCCTTTCCTTTTCACAGCAGAAACAGCCATTTAGACTGCTTCAAGCAGATGGTTCTTCTTGCAACTCAAACACTCAAGCACTGAAGTACCCCAAAACTTTCTCAGCATGATACAAGCACCAAGGTTGGGAGGGACCTCTGGAGACCAACCTTCTGTTGAAATTTGGACTCTAGATCAGGTCATCACAGATCTAGCCAAGCTGAACGAGTTCCCATGCAAGGAAGGAAAACACTAGATAAAAACTGTATGCAAATACGTGATTTTTTTTTTTTTTTTTAAGATGACAAATACTACCCAAGTACTGTTTTCAGCTGAACTGCATCTGAAATTCAGATGCATTTCTAATCCTTTTCCTTTTCTCTATTCTTTAACAGAAAATGTTACATCTATTTTTTTTCTGAAAATGACACTAAGAGAAGCGACAGTCAGGAAGTAAAAACAAAATCCAACTTCTCAATTTTTGCACATAGTAAATCATCAACTGAATGATATTCTGTCATTTACAAGATGGGAGCTTCCCATTTAAAACTGAAACTGCTTCCAGAATACATTACAGCACCATCCTCCTCCTTTTGCTTACGGAAAAAGTATTCTATTCTCAAGAATAAGGACTCTACATAAAGGACAGAAAAATCACACTTTGATTCAGTGAAGAAATCTGCAGTACCCAGCGAGTTAATATTACCTCTGGAGGAAAATTCAAGCCCTCTCTTAACTGAAATTACCATACTAAAAATTCTGAAGTATCATTTTTTTTTTCCAATGGCATTTACTGTATTGGTATCTCTGAATAGTTGAGGACACCTGCATTCTCTAAAGTATTTGGTAACATGGCCTAGAGTTCAAGCTTAACATGCATGAAAACATCCTTTCAAAGTGAACATCATTTACCTGCATACAGATCTCACATCTACAGCTCTCATCTACAATGTCTCTACTACAGCTTTCCTTGGACAGAACAAACTTCCTACAAAACAGCACAAGGGCTGGAACTCATTATTTCTAGATATTTGGACTCGAAAGACAGAGGGTTGGGGAAAAAAACTTGCAAACTTGCGAGAGACATTTTTCTCTTGTACTGTCCAAATCAGAATAAACTGAACGGACCATATTCCAGCCTGAAAAGACAACTAGGAAACTGGGTCCTTATATTCCCGGGAAGCGAGCAAGGGCTTTCCCCAACTCTGTTCACCTGAACATGTATATCAAAACTTATTTTTTTCCAGCTTATTCCAGTGGACAGCCCTGGTTCATAAACTGTTCTTCCAAGTGTAATTCTGAACTGTTCATCAGCACCATAGAAGAATGTTTATGATGGAAAAATGATTATGCTGAAAAGCATACAAGTCTGCATCAGAAGCTAAACTAGTCTACTACTGTATCCTTTAAAAATTAGAAACTAATTTGGTCTTAGTTACAACTACTGCAAGCTACTACCATATCTACTATCAACCTAACCTAGCCCCAGGCTGCTCCAGAAAGTCACGTGCAAAAGGCAGATATTTATGATATTCTGAATAGGATGTTTCATTTCCCACTTTTGACTTGTCAGTCACAATTCTCAGAGAACGTTTCTGCTTCAGGGGACAGAAACCTTTGGTTAATTCAATTCAAAATAATCAGTCATCCCATTAATAAAAAGTAAGCAAGTTAGAGGATTTCCTTGTATTTGCTTAACACAAGTCCAGGGAGCACCCATGCACAAAGGAAACCCCCTTCTCTACAAAGAAAACTCCCTCTCTGCCTCCCTCAAATTTGCTGTCCTGTACCATGTAAGAGACCAGTTATGGAGCCTTGGAAAGCACAGGCAAGTAACAAAGACAGAAAAGCATCACCAAACAGTTTTTCAAGATTGAAGCTTTCAGCGAAGACCCAGGATTCATTCAAGGGTTTGCCCCTTCACAACTGAAGCAAAAACTATGGAGGCCAATTTGCCTTTTTTTTTTTTTTTTTTTTAAACCAAATGTTTTCATTTAGCTCAGATCTGTTTCAGTAACTCAAAAGCAAGAGCACAAGACACGCCTTCCATCTCTTCAGATTTAAACACTACTTGGCACCCAAAGTACCCAGCTGAGGTTTGTATTTTAAGAACAGGAAGTTAAGAACCTACAAATCTGTAGGTATCCCACCAGATTGTGCACCAGGAAGGCCAAATACTAAAGGAGGCAGATGCCTGACACATTCCCTTCGAAGAGTCCGTACGGCACGTGGGGGCACCCATATGCCAAAACGCATCTCAGACTCTGAACCATTTCCCACCCCCTCTTCTACCCACACTTCTGGCATAGCAGGTGGCAACTTTTACGGCGTCTTGAAATTCAGAGCATGCTATAGCAAAGTTGCCCTTCAGAGGCTTCTAGACTCACAGCACAAGTGATCTACACTTCTGATTTGACCGTTTTCTCATCAAAAAGTTGCTCCGTTGAGCTGGCTCATACCTGATTACTGGCGGCCATTATCAAGGCTCTCGTAGGCGCAGATTGGGGTTTACCACTTGGCATAGGCAATGCGGGGGGTAAACTGGCCATAAGCTGAGTCGGTGCTTGCAGACTGAACTGGTAAACATTAGAAGTTGTGCAAGGTGCTGTATCAGAATCCTTTTGGCAGAGAAAAAGGGGAAAAGAAAAGCAACTTTACAGAAAGCACAGCATATACAGACTATGCATTTGAAAATGCACCTAAATACCAACTCATGTGAATAGGACTTTTTTTTCCCAAAATGGTAAAAAAAAAATAAAATACAAGCCAGCACTAAGTTTGTTTCACACATGTAGCAAAAAAATCTAATTGAAGCAGCATCAAGGAGACAATTTAAACAGGTCTAGGACAATCACAGATCAGTTTGCAGTCATCTCAAACTAAAGCCAAATACATAAAGCTATTTCTCTACCAAGTTAGAACTAAAAGGTTGGAACAAAGGGCGGTAGAAATGGGAGCAATGATGACACTGTTAGCTATATAGGGACTATAATGTTAGGTGTAACAGTATCAGTCCTCTGTAATTGTTCAAGTCTTCTCCCATTCTCCTGAGCAAAAGGGACGTTAGGGCTCCAGCTACCAAGCAAGGGGGAGATGGGATGGCCTGCCAGCCATGGCTGGTCTGTACGCACCAGGGACCCACCTCCCCGTCAGTGAGGGCTTCTGTTCTTACCACTTTGCATTGGAACCCTGAGCCACAGTTCATTAGAGGGAGCAAAAAAACAGTGTAGGATTACAGAAAGTGCAGTAACGGAATTGGATGAATTTCCTCCTGCCAACTTGGAGGCACCAGCAGCTGGAGCGGCGTCAGAGGCAGCAAGTCGCACTGGCGACGTTAACACTGCGCTGCACGGAGCGCTTCAACACCACACAAGCAAGCAGGCAAAGAGGCAGCAATTACTGAAGGCTAGAAATGCCCAACTGACTGCTTCCAATCTTAAATGTACAATCCTTGGAATCAAAATAGTTGCAATGCAAGTTAGAGCTTTTTGAAGCAACCTTGAATACAGATCTTGACAAACTAAACTTGTTTTAACCATAATACAATGGCAACAGACCAACTGGTTTCTCTGCCTTATACAGAGGCAGAGAGGCAGGCTCCCCCTGCCCTCTTCCTCCTTAATTCTAAAATAACCTAAACTTAAAATTAAGAGAGTTTTTTTGTTTGGGTTTTTTTTTGATACCCAAAACCTATCCCAAGCTCTGTTCCTCATTCCTACCTGTCTCAAAAAGCAACAAGAAACGGGTCTTGGCCAACGGACTTAAGACAGACCAGCCCATCAGCTACTGGCAGTTCAGGAGTTACCAAATGAAAAGATATTGTGGCTTAAATCAATGATCTTTGCAGTTAAGTCTACTGCCCACTCTTTAAAGACTGTCTGAAAGCAAAAACTCCTCACACAAATTAAGCCAACTTTAGCGAAGGGAAACAAAATATTTTAAAGCACTTCTCTTGGACAAGGAGAAGACTTTTTAAGAGGGAGCGACTAAGCAATTAATCACTAGGAAGCAAAACTTCTATACCAACCAAAGAAGAAACTGCCCTCAGAATAAAACCATCAGATCTAAAACAATCGTTTCTTTACTGGTCCGTATAACACTTGTGCTCTAAAGAAACTAAAGAGTAAGTTATAAAACGAGAGGCCGAAGAAGCAGCTTCTACCCCTCTCAACCGGTGGGAAAAGTTACAGTAAACGTTTGGTGAAGCAGCTTCAGGCATTTGCAGCAAGAATTCACTTAGGACAGACCGTACTAGTAACGGCAGACAAACTATGCAGACCCTTTTGTTACTTACCAGGTGAAGCACTTGCTATAAATATGTTCCATGAGCAACTACCTACTCTAGCAGTGTTCAGATAACTGCACTTGTAATGGAGGTGAATGCAGGGCACCCTTCTTGAGCAAAATAACAGTTTCCTCCCTTGCCCCATCCTACAATACTAACAGCTGAAAGACTAAGGTCTCGTCTAAGGAGGATGAAACTACCACGAGATGCTAGAAGTCAGACACAGACAAGAGCTTGGTGCTAAGATCAGCCTTCTGTAGGGAGTACTGGTCATGTAAATTTAAGTTACAAAGCAGAGGGTGAAATAAAGCGAGGCAGGCATCTGTCTGAAGAGCTGCTCATAGTGACCATGAGCAGATAGATGGGAAGGAAAAGGAGGCCTTAAGGTCTATGCAAACCAGGACGTTACCTTCTAGGACACAACCTTCACAAACCTGACCAAGCAACAGCTTTAGCTTTTCCCCTCACTCAAAGCCTTCCCTTTCTTTTAAGGGAGAAAGGCAGTATTAGACCTTCTGAAGGTTCATATGGCTGTCCAGCTGAAACACTTTCCATTTAAGACTCTACTATAAGGAAGATGACTGGCTGACTTCTCCTTAGCACCAACACTCATTTCCTAGGTAGAACAGTGCCTCAAACAGTACCTTTCTTTCTCAAAGACTGATCTCAGTGATCAGAAAACTAAGTCTAGCCTAAACAAGGACTTATTAGAAGGGCTATATCCGTTTTCTTTAAGTCTTGCTTAGTCTTCTGGATAGAATTAAGTGCCAAGTGCAATCTTTAAACACTACACAAGCTTGGAAGGAGCAGAGAATCTGTAACTTTAAGTCAGTATTTAAAAGTCAAACGCAGCAATAAAGCCCAAATTTCCTGCTCACATGGCACTTTTCTTCCTCTAAAAGCATCTGTAGGCATCTCGGAAGAAAGCTTCATATTTTATTTTCCCCATTCTCCAACCTCCTCCCACTAATTACACAACTAGATTTCTTCTTTCCAAGAACACACAGGAAACTGGAAGTTGTCAGAGAATAGCTGCTTCAATAAAAGCTACATTCTGATGTTTGAAGGCAAAGAACTGAAAATAGTGAGATAAAACAGTGCGCACAGTTAAGATTCTCCAGCATATAGAATTTTTTACATGCTCTTGTATATTTGACCATATTTTAACCACTAGACTGGTCTAATAACTAGCTACTGTCAGTCTTGTCACTCTTGCCTTTTCTCCTACTCTTGCCTCCTCTGTCACACCGGTGGTAGCGATTTGACATTGTAATGAGCAAATCCATCGAACTAATTTTGTCAGTTAACCTCAGAATCAGCTTCCTATACACAGCATTAGGTGAACATAAGCACAGAAATGCAGGGGCAGAGTATCCCTAGCAAGAAAGTCTACTAAGATTGGCTTAGCAGAAATGTAAAATCACACCTCTTGAAGGGGAACAAGAAAACTTTGGACACGTCCTAGGAGTTCAGGGCCATGCAGTAAAGGAGTCTCAGGGCATAAATGTTTTGGTTCAGGGAGCTTAACTCTGCTTGATAAATTCACATTTTTCCAATGTGATTTGGGGGGTTCCATACTCTCATCCCATTTGATTTACAAAGGAGAAAAATGATACAAACTGATGTAAGTGGAGCCATAAGTTCAATTAGTGGAGCAGATTAAAAAGGAGATGAACAAAACATGCGTGTCGGGTCATAGGACACGGAATTTGACAGGCCTCAATACGGTTGTATCATTCGCCAGCTTATTTGTATCCATTGTATCCATTTGCCAGCTTATTAACAATAGTCAAGTCTTCAGTAATATGCAGTTGAGTGGGTATCTGTGGCTGAAAGTACATTGCTTTTAAAAAGAAAAATACATTGGTCATGGTGCTTACAGGTAGAGGGAAGAAAAGAAAAAAAGTGAAATGAAATGACAGATATAGAAAAAACAAGCAGGCAGACATCCTCCAGAAGTATTAATGCTTGTTTTACAGAAAGAACTAAAAAGCTAATCTAATTAGTATCTATGATAATTTAGGACAAGCATCACATTATCTTCCACCAGGTCTAGCCATGGGCTTTTAGTTATTGTTTCTAAATGAGTATTTAGTGTATTTTAGATGAACTTTCAAGTTGCACGATCAAAAGGTTTTTCAAATTCGGCACTAAATGACAGGACTATTTATGCAGGTTGAACACATCATGTCAAAAGCAGTCACTTTTGGTTTTCCTCCATCCTAAAGTGGCTTAGACACTGTTTCAGAGGGTGAATATGTTAGTCTTAAGATATGACATGAGTAGAACTAGCAAATTACATGAGAAAATCGTGACCTCAGTTTGGCAGAGGAGGAGCACCTGCCTCTCTTACCTCACCGAGAGCACAGCCATCAAATCCAGCTTTATTTGGCGATTCACACCTTTCCTCCTTACCCTTTTCTGTTTAGGACCACTGGTTACAGAATAAAAAGCCTTTCTAATTTGCAGCTCTAAAGTGTCTCCTACAGCTTTATGGATATAAGCTCTTATCTCAAGCGGATAGAGGAAGAAACTGCTCATACAGCTGATTTTGAAAACGGGTAGTGTATCGTGAGACAAGACCACTCACAATGACAAATGGGATTAAAAACAAAAAGGAGATGTGGGACTATGTGGTGATAAAGGAAAATAGTCAAGAGTAGGACTGGGGGAAAAAAAAATCTGTTCTCTGATCCAGATGTAAGCAATCTTCATAAAAAAAAGAGAAAGTAGCAAGTTTTAAAGGATTTAGGGGTTAAATTCTTAAATGTTCCAAAATAAAAATCAAGTGTGTTTTCCTCCCTGGTAGCTTCAGATGATTTGTGTTCAGGGCGCCCACGGCTCTCTGGCTGCGAGTCAACACTTGCATCTTTCATTAAAGATCAAGAGATGACTTTTCACAGCACTTGCCTCCCTTGATTTGCTCAGTGATGGAAAAGGAAAGCACGATACAGCAGCTGCACTCCTGTTCTGGATGAAGGCAGCTCATGAGCTATCCATGCACACTCTGAATGGTTCCTTTGGTTAGGACACATGAATATTCCAAGGGAAAGAACAGTAGAGCAAGTAGGCTCTTGCTATCAGGCTGTCTATGAGCCTTCTGCTGTGCCATCCCCTTCCCTGCTAAGCCCCAACATATTTTAATCTCGAATTGTAAATATTAATTGTAGTCATTAAAAAGATTTAACAAGATTACAAGGGCAGCTGTTACAGCAGTTGTTCTGAATTGTTGTGGGTGTCTGTCCTCTCCCGCAGATAGGCACGTGCCTTACATTTGCAAATCTAATCCCTTGAAAAGCCTCATTTATCAGAACAGGGTCTGTCAGACACTCC